GCCGTTAACCCCCCCCGCCAGCCTGCCGATGACTCAGCATCCTCCGGCTGCGCTCCCGCTTCCTCCTGGCGCCTGGGAATTGCCACCGTGACCGCCGGCACCACCGACACGCTCGGCAGGATGCTCCCCCAAAATGCAGAGGGAAGTGGGGCACCCGTGCGGATGGCTCCTCAGGCGGAGGGGAGATTCCCAGGACAGGGAATTTGCTTTCCAAGTTTTCAGGCTTGCTCTGCGCCAGCTTCGGGAGAGGTTTGCGGCGTGGGAAAAGCCAGCCTTCACCTGCGCCACGCGGTGGGAAGCAGCTGAAGGCCATCTCTGGTAGCAACATGCTTTTTCCAACCGGCGCAACAATGGGAAATACACCCCCACCGCTTCCTCCTGCTGGCACCGGCACAAACCGCGATGCCGTCCTCCCTGCTCCTGCCCGGCGCACTTCTCACATGGAAACGGCTATCCCGGCTGAATCCACGCTTGAGCTACCGCAGTAGCATCCCGCTCCTCCGCCTGGCCCCAGGTTTCAGCAGGGACATGCCGCAGGGATGCGAGTGCCCGCTGCCACGTGGGCTTCTCCCCACTCCAGCCCATCGCGCTCCACGATGCCAGAATTCAGCAGCCAGTGGCTTTAAGGCAGACATTACATCTGCATCCCTTATACTCTATACGTTCCTACGAGGGGCTCCTGGCCATCCTGTGCGTCACCACCAAGCCGAAGGACTTGTCGCAACGGCTAATTGCTTTAATTTGCACTGAATGGAGAATCCAGCCCACCCTCAGACACACCACAGGCTGGTTGGGATGGGGGGGTTAACGTGTCCCCCAGCCACTGGAAGAGCTGTACGCCACCCAGCCCGCCCTGTCTCAGGGCTGTTTTCAGGTGCTGGGGTTGTTTTGGGGTGCTGGGTCAGGAGCTCGAGGAAGAGCGGGACGGGATGGACTGGCTGTAGGCTGGCTTTGATGCGGGCTGGGGTGGCAAGCCTCGGCTTGTGCAGGATCCAGCCCTGCAGCCGAGCCGCCCCCGGGAGATTTCATTAAACTCTTGCCCAACCTGATGAGTGTCACCATCCGGCAATGGGTTATTTGTGCCTTCGTGGTGGGAAAAATCTCAGTAAATGCATTTGTTGTTTAATTGCACCCAGAGGAACCCGCAGCACCGGGGCAATGCCAGGAGCCAGTGCCACAGCTCTGCCACCCATTCCTGAAGGATGAGCGGTTCAGAGTCAGCTGGCCGGCCTTGCCACAGAGGGGCTGCAGGATCCAGCCCACCGCCTTCCCACCGCAAAACAGCCACGCAGGGGGCTGCGGCTGCGCGGGAAGGGCACCCTCCAGCACCCAGCGCTGCAAATCCAGCCTCAAAGGGAAACGTTACAGAGCAGACACTGAGTCGCCGTGCCCAGCGCCGAGCGAGGCGTGCTCACACATGCGTGTGCACAGGTGGCCCTGGAGCATGTGCAGCGCAGTCAGCGCACCGCAATCTGAAAATGAAACCGGCCTCAACTCCTTGCCACTACTCTCCACGCCAGGAAAATGCATGCCAGCAATGTAAATAGGAAATTTGATTTATGTGCCGGCTCTCCCAGAAACAACTGTTCCCCAACCAGAGGAAAAGCAGCCAGCAGCATTTTCGGCTCTCTTTTACAAGCACAGCACTATTCAAAATTCACCCCAAGGACTATTTTCAGGACGGAGTGAAGCAAGGGGCTGGGAGACGCCCTCGCCGGCCCCGCAGTTCCCGGCATCCCGAGTGGCAGAAACACAAAGTTCCCACAATCCCAAGAGCGGGAACATTGTTCCTTCCCAGGATGTCCTCCATGAAAAGAGCTATTCTGAGCCGGCAGCAGCCTTTCTTGGCACGGCCCCACAGCCCGCTCGCGAGGCAGCTATAAAAGGCTGGGTTACAATGAACAGCACTTTTCAATGGGAGAGCATCCGGTGCAGGGGGCTCGGGGGGGATGCGGGTCCCCGGGGGGCCGGCCTGCCGGGGGTGGGCTCACAAGGGCTGGGTGGTGTGGAGCATCCTCCTGGGATGGTGCTGGTGCAGCCCCACAGTCCCTCGCTGCATCCCGACCTGCCGGGGACCGGGGCAGCGGGCGCTGGAGGATGGGCTGGATGCGACCCTGGGTTGAGAGCGCAGAGGGGGACAAGCGGAGCAGTGCGGCCATTTGGGGATGGGCACTGAGATGCAGCTGCTCAGGGAGGCAGGAGGGTCTGGTGCAGGGAGAGAGGTGGGAAAAGGTCCGGCTGCAGCCTCCTGATGTGGGATAAGGGGGGGAACGGAGGAGAGCACACTGATTTTGCCCTCCTTCAAACTGGGTCACAATACAACGCGTTCACAGCACGTCCCTTGCCGTGGGCACGCTTGCTGCAGAGCGAGCACAGCCATGGAAAGCAGCCCCGACTCCGTGCTCACGGAAAGCCCCATGAAGTTTTATTGCTGCCCTTCAGCCAAGCTGCTTCTCCCTTCCAGCAGCCCGCTTTCACCAGTGGGGTAAATACTGCTGATTTACCCCCGAGCAGAGCAGAAAGCCCCAGCCCATGCACCCAGGGCAGCACAGCCCCGGGGGGGACTCCAAGGGAGGCAAGGAGGGTGATAGGGCCCCTATCACCCCCCCCCCCCCCCACATATTTACAGCATCACTATAAAACAGCCTAGGCCATTTGTGCGTCAGGCCAGCACAACCCACAGCAGAAACTGCCCGGCACTACCCTACTCTTCTCTCTGGGAGCGGCCCCCTGCAGTGGTGTGGATTCTCATGGGTCTTGTAGAGGGTGATGGCACAGCACCGCACTTCTGAGCGCCATCGCTCCCTGGGACTCGCTGGCTGCTTCCATGAAAGCTGGAGGACCCCAGGGGGTCTCAGGACCTTCCCTCCTTCTCCTTCAGCTGGACCAAGCCAACAAACTCAAAAGCAACAGAGGAGCAGGTTGGAGAGATCCCACTGCACACTCACATAGGCTGTGTTTTTTTAGGAAATAGGGTTAAAAGCCAGGAGGTTTGGAGGCGCTGATTTTGCTCTCCTATCCCCACTTTCTCGCAGGACACCCCCCCTCCCCCCTTATTTGACCACCTGGCACTACACAGCTTGCTCTATTAAAGGCCAGAGCTGGCCTTAATCTATGGCTCTGCATGGGCTGAGCAGCACTGCAGACCTCTGGGGACGTGGCCAATGTTACGGCACTTTAAATCCAGGGGAAATCCACCCATTTGGCTTCCCCTGATTGCTCCACTGGGACAGACGGGCTGGAGACAGCCCATCCTGAACCCACCTCAGGCCAAATGCAAGCTCCAGGCTCGCTTGGCCCACAGGAGCTCACCAGGATGAGCCACTGCGGCCAGCTCAGCTCCTCAAAGACCCTCTGCCTGCTTCCCGTTCACCCGAGTGCCCATCACCATGGCGTCTGGCACCCTGCAGCCCGGTTTACATCATCACGCTCTCCTACACCCACTGCCTGCGGGGAAAAGCCCAGCAGCAGGGTGGCCTCTTTCGACAGGGTTTGTTTTGTTGCATGAAATGAATCGCTGCGGTGTAGGCGTGGGAGAAGCCGGGCGCAAGGAGTGCTCCTGGGGGAGCGGCTGGCTGGTGGTCCCTGGCTTTGCCCACGGAGACAGGGGACACGGGGACAGCAGCTGGCAGCTCAGCTCCCCGAAAACCTGGCTCTCCCTCCCCACCACAGCAGTCCCCTCAAGGCTGGATCTGGCTCTTCCTCCTCACCAAGCCGTGGCAGCGCTGGCAGTACCACAAACCCCACCAGCACCGAGCTCTTGCACTTTCGCTTTGTCTCACCCGCTGGGATTTGTCCTGACGTCTTCGCAGTGCCAGGATCAGTCTCGGCAGCCCCATGGGGTGTGCAGACGCGTGGGTGGGGAGGGTTTGCTCTGGGTGAGGAGGACGTAAGACCCCTCAAAAGCCACCAGCACTTGCACCCAAATCTCTCTGGTACGATACACAGCAGTGGCAGACCCGCTGCCCCGCAGGCTCTGGCGAAACCAAAACGGAATTTTTTAGAGGCAGTAAATACAGAAAAGCAAAGGAGAAAATAAAAGCAGTATTGAGGGCAGGGGGAATGCACAGGGACAAGGCTCCCCTGCACCAAAAGCAAGTTAAAAAGAAATCCGAGGCGTTGATCTAGTCCCAAACAAGTCAAAGTGAAACCTGCCAGTAATTTCACAGGCCTTTAAACTCCAATCCTGTAACCTGCCAGCAAAGCCCGACGGCAGACGAGGACATGCGAGAGCAGGCAGCGCCAGGTCCCTGTGTCGGCCACCTCTTCCTCCGTCTGCTTTTCCTACCTAAGCGCAGCAACCCAAAAAGTCCCCGGGCCACCAGCCCACAACTCCAGCACATCTTGAATCAATTTGCAACAACAATATCGAAATCTCAGCTCGACAACTCGTCCCGGTTTCCTTGACAGTAAATCCCAGCCCAGGCAGCAATGACCGTGTTATTGCCGCTGTCGGAGACAGCGGGTCCAGACTCTCTGCTGGTGACCCCGCTGGGGCTTGGCACAAGCAGGACTGGGCACGCCAGCAGGGCACGGGGAGGCCGCCGGGATGCTGCCCGCCAGT